ATTTATTAAATTTGCTGTGAATAACATACATTACATATATTTCTATTCACACTTAAATCATTACAATTAGAATTCACCCACAAGTATACTATCTGGGTACAGCTTACCTATAAGAACTATTTTAAATGCATCAATTATTTTCTATATCTTCCAGTCTCAAATTTGTAAACTTTCCAGTAAGATCCAACCACCAATCAAATTACTCATCAGAGTACTGTGTTTCTATCTCCTCCTGGTAGTTCATCTTATTTAAGACTATAGGTCCGAATTGTTACTATTTGAGGAAGCGGATAGAACCTATTGGCTAGAGTTTATTTCAATACCTTTAAACATGAGGTTGACAATCCAATCCTTTTTAGATAATACCAGGCTTCAAGCATAGGCTGCTTATTTAAGAGGGCACAACTTCTCCAAAGTCAGGCTAAGTCTTAAGAGAAATCTTCCATTCTGGCAATCATTACCAACTAAGTACCTTCACTATAGGTAAGAATGGTGGGTATTGCTAGTGAGTCGTCACTCATACTAAAGGGGGGTATATTAAAAGTCTTGCTAAACAGTTTTTCAGTTTTATGGCCCTTCATATTATATTTCTTTTATAGTCTTATGGACTATAGGAAAGGGAAATGACCTATTGTAGAACCAGTGATTGCACCAAACTGAACAACGATCGTTATAATACCAACCAGATAATTGTCACACCACAGCACCTTTTCTAGGAAATTACAATCTCAATGCTCGCCAGATAATTTTATAATCATTAACTGGTGACCTGATGGACTTTTTATCATACCTTTAATTTACTTATCCATGCGTTCACTAGTGGTTACGTACTGTGCGCAACCCTTTCCGGTACGTACAACAGATTCGACAAGATTATGGAAAACAAAATCGCCAATTTCAATAGAAAATAACCTAAAGTTATTCTTCTTTTGTTCAACATTAGTGCAAATAGGTTCCACTAATGTCTCGACGTTCCGTCAGTAAAGAGAAAAACGGATGTTTGCATATTGAATATAGAACTGTCAAATGACCATTTTAGTGGATCATGGATTTCGGTACCGCCGTAATTGGCGCTCATGGCTTTAGCATGATCGAGAGCCTGGGTAAGAGTGACTTCGGAATAAAGTTGACTTTGCGGGAATAATGAATCGTAATCAGAACCAAATAATATCACATTAAAATAACAGCCTTCTGGAAGAGAACGAACCAACAGTTGGAGAGTTTGTATCGCTTTTTGAATGGCTCTCCACTCATTGTCCCCGATCTTAAATTAGGATGAAGTAAGCCATTTATTATACTGTATGTTAATTTGAATCACACTGCAAATTTAATTTCCGAAATATTCTTATCTATCTACAATATAACAAATGTTAATTCTACTAAGACTTCACTAAGTGCAAATTAGGCCACCAAAGTAAACATAACACAATTGGTTTCGGTTGCTGAGTTATATTCGACAAATGCCATACATAAACGTTATCAAGGTAAATTTTAGAGCCCAAAAAGAACAGATTCATTATTTATATCTCGACGTATCAAGATGTTGACTTATTATAACCAATATGAAATCTTTTTCTAAATAAGTAACATCTGATAAAGTAACCCTTGCAACTTTAGAATCTCCATCAAGGTTGACTGCGGTAGAATGTGATGTGAATAGGACTCGATTGTCTAAATAGATGAAGTAATCCTACATTTTACGTTAAGATCGAGGTACGTAGTAGTCAGTTGAACGCGAATAAGATATTGAATCCCAATCGAATGCATTATTACCGTGCGGAGATCCATATCTTGGGGCAATGGCAGTAGGTAAGATGAATCGTATTTGTTCAGAATCGGTATCATGTTTAAGCTCCGTGACATATGTGGTTTTGATCATCACAGTTTGGCCAGAGGCGATGTTTCCGACAGTGCACTGTAATACGTCAGCAAGTTGTCCCTTCAACAAATAGGCCCCATGACCTTGCTACTTATATGGAATAAAATTCGTTTAATATTTTTATTTGATATATTTGGGAACAAATTTTATAAAAATATAAATTGACTATTTTATGAATTGTTAACGTGTAGGTAACAAGTTTGTATAAAAATATTTTCTTATTTATATATTTATAACCAGAAAAATAGATTAGATATAGTATCAATTATGTTTTATAGACTATAAGTTTTTATATACATATTTTTGTTATTTGTAATTTATAAACAAGTTCTTATGAAAATAGTTAACTAAATATTAATAGTTAACTTTATAGGCAACAAGTTATTTAGCTATTTGTATATTTGTGAACAAATTCTTAAATAGATTAACTATATTATTAATATCAGGTATAAGTTTTCATATACATATTTAAATTTAATTAATTTTGGATTATATCTAATTCTTATTTAAAAAATTTAAATTTATCTTTGAATTTGGTTTTAAAATTTCATTGACAATAGTTTATTAGTAATAAATAGACATTATTAGTAATAAATAGACACCATTAGTAACAAACAGATATTATCTTCTAGTGTGTAGCTTTGTTTCATTGCATCATGCCTATAATTGCAACTTTTTCTTATAATAACTTTCTGTTCTTGTGATGTAACAGGTTTTTGCTTTGGTTTGTTGGCATATTGCATATAGGTCAAATATTGTAGTATTGAGAGGTAAGTTGATCAGTTTTGTTAAAAAAGTTCCTCTGTTTTTATTTAATTAAGTTCTATTGTGCATGAAATATTTTTATTACATTTGATTTCAGCAGAATGCTTCATTTTTCAACTTGTTTTTCTTTGAATAGCTTTTTTTAAAGTGATTATAACTGATTGATACTTTTAATAAGTGCTTATACTAATGTTAATAATTGTACAAAATCTTTTAAAAATTGTTATTTGTCAATAAGCTTGGTGTCCCTAAGTATATCCCATACTCTAATACTGTTTTTCTTATTTGTTTTATCATTCAATATAGGCATATGTTGCATGTGCTAGTTTTTCAATTCTGGTAAATTAATGAAACAGATATTTTTTGTAATCTAATGATCTTCAAAAATGACTATAGTATACTCTTCTTTTTTCTTCCCACTATAAATTGTGAAAAGTTTTATAAAGGAGCATAGGGTTTTAGTAACAAATTAAATTTTTTACCATAAAACTGTCTAGAGATTTCTAATGCTTCTTTACTAATTTTAATTTTACTTTTTTGTTTTTCATATTTAATTGTTTTGTTGAAAAAAATTTTGATCTAAATCTGTTACATGGTATTGTTTTCTTTTTTTCTTTGGCTTTCTACAATTTATCTTATATTTTAATATTTTTAATTAAAAATTTATAAGAATTTTTATTTATTTATATAGTGTGATTCATAATTTTTTGGAATTTTTTTGATTTTATATTTTATCTTGTAATTAAATAAAAAAATCATTAAAATT